AAAGACTGAAATGAATAGTTGAACATCAACGAAGCGTCTTCTAAATCCTATGCATATCTGATACCCTTTAGATCTAATTGCAAAATATTGATTAAAATAATGCCCAACTAGCTTATGTACCTATTAAATCTTATTTATGTCCATACCCTGTATACATAATTGACGAGAGAAATCCCCTATCTATTACTAAGCATTGTACAGTGAAATATTGAATTCTAAGATCAACTCTAAGAAAAAATTGAAATTCTAATCCCAAGATATGCATTCTTGTTATAATATTAAAATTTTTGTATTTCAATAGCCACATAAATACATCAACACTTGTTACCTTTAAACAATTAACAAATCAGCTGTTGGCCAAGCAAGTTCAACAATCAATCCATTAAAATAGTAAAAAAAAAGTCTTACATTTTCTCACACACCTGCAGATGAAAATCTGGAACAGCTGTTTGCAGCAGCTGTTAAGCTAGTTTGGCATAAATGTAATATGCAAAACTTATCGATTATCGATGACAACGAGACAATGAAAATTTGCGCACATACTTAGATAGTAGAAATAGGAAAACGTATGAAACATACCTCGCAAAATGCTTAAATTGCAAACTTTTCCTTTTCGCAATTTATTTATATTGTGGATTCTGTTGTCGACGTCACGAGCAGCTGTTGGCAGAGAATTTTTGTTATATATTAAAACACGCGCGCGAATACTATCTAACGAAACTTTTATATATGTTAAGCGCAATGAGATGAGAAGCACAAACAATAACAACAGTTACAGCAGAAGTAGCGACGGCGGCAGTGACAAATTTTTCTCTCAATGAGCGCCCAAAAAAAAAAAAACAAGACAGAAATCGAAAATTGACGGCGCCGTCGCTCTCACCAACACAGAGACAAATAGCGACAGGGCGTCGTATTTAGCACTGTTATTGTAGTTGCTGTTAGTGTTGTTGCTTTAGCATTTCATTGTTTTCTAAATAATAATGGACGCTCCAAATTTAGTACAAACTTATTTTTTTTAAACACTTATTTCTTATAGCTCATATTTAGCAAACATTTTATTGTGAGCATTTTCTCTTTAAAATTTCAGCACTTTTATTAACATTTTTGTGGTGAAAAGACGCATCGCACAAACACACGCACACAACAAGCGAGCATGCATAAAAGGCACTAACACACACACACACGTACACACTCAGGCACAAATACATGTACACACGATGCTGCTTCTGCCTGCCTGCTGCTTCTTCTTCCTCAGAGCGCAGTTGGTTTTGTTGTCGCGTCGTATTGCTTAAATTTATACATTTTAAATTTGTTTTACCAGGTTAGTGCATAAAACGCGTTTCATTATGTTTTTTTTTCAACAGCAGCAACGACAAAATACCATTTTAAAGACACAAAAATTGCCACCCACGAGCGAAACGCAAAATAAAGCAAACAACGCGCGATTAAGGGGTAATTGAATTATAGCAAATACAATTACCGTTCTTTTCTTACTTTAGCGCATTTACGGTTATAATTATAAACTTTTAAGCACAATACACATTAATATTATGCAAATTGAAACGCACCCAAAACGCGACCTCACCGTCCGCTTGTAAGATTGTTAATGTTAACATATTATGTTAATTCCATCAGTCATAGAATGACACTCTGTTAAACTCAAAAGACGCTGTTCTAAGTTCCCAAAAGACGACTCTGTTAAATTTAACTTTATGTTATCAGCGAGCGCATTTGATGAAAAAGAGATTGTGAGGAGACTTTCAGTACACTATTTAAACATTTTAATATGCAAATACCATTTTCACCTATTCGTGATGCTTACTCGACTTAAATTTACTTGTAACATTATATCGTTAAACTTGTATTTCAAATTTTATGTTAACGATCTGTCAATACTCAAATGGCACTGTTTGCACATAATTCTATGAAAATTTTTTAGGTGCGTTTTTGCGCATATATGGAAATGGACAAGTTGCGATGCCTAAATTTTGTAAATTAAAATCTATTAGTACTAAAAAGAAACAAAGTGAGTGCATACTTTGTCGAGTGCTTCCAATTTGAATTTTCATCGCCACCTACCGTAAAATGTTTGAAGTGTGCCGCGCAAGCTAAGACAACAACCAATATACCATGAATTAAAGGGGGCGCTTTGCTTAAAATTTTTTCGTATGCGTAAATAAATTTATACATATTTGTGTACATGAAGATCATATGTACGTGAAGAGGGATCTCTAGATTGTGAGTACCCATACTTTATGGCTCTATCCTCTTTACACAATTTTTGGTCAAAATCTACACTGCCCCTCGAACTGCAATTACCTTTGGTTAAGGCTCTATCCTCTTTACACAATTTTTGGTTTTACTTTCTCATGTATTTAATCAAACATACAAATTTCGACATATAAGTATATGTTATGGTGACATTTCTATAGTGCACTTATGGTTTAATAGTACCTAGATTTCCTTCTGAAGCCTTGGTGTCGCTAGCAACAGGGTCCACAGCCGCCACAACAGCGTCCAAAACAGGGTCCACAGCAGGAATAGCGATAGCAACATCCGCCACAAGGTCCACAGCAGCCACCGCAGGGTCCGCAGCAGCCACCGCAAGGTCCACAACAGGAGTAGCAAGGTCCGCAACACATTTTGCTAGGTGCTGCTGGATTAGGTGGACAAACGATTAAATATATTTCCTAAAGTATTTAACAGACTGAACTTACATTATTCTTTTAGGTTCTTCACAGAAAAAGGTACTATAATAAATATATATACAATTATAATCTCAGTGTAGCTTCCAGAAAATTTTGATATGGTCGAAAACATCCAAAAGCCAGCACACTCGATATATTTAAATATAATTGTTACAGGAAGGACTTTAACCTGAGAATCAATGGAAATATTTTTTTTTTTTTGTTTAACACATTTTTTTTTTTTTTTTCTTTATAATTTTACTTACATTTCCCAAAAAATAAGTAAGCACACATAAAATATATAGAAGTATACGGGACAAGCCGAAAAGTTTGAATGAGTATTTGTTGAGTTGATGCTTATAACCCGAGCCAAATCGAGAAGAGTGGATTTGAAAAGCCTGTTTTGATGTTTATATTTGCTCATTCTATTAATAAAGGTGTTCATAAATAGAGAGCTAGACCTAGACCTAGTTCAAGTTAAGATTTGAAAAGGAAATACCAGTATGGGTGATTATCGATAAAAAGGTATAGGATGAGTTATCGAAATAAATAATAAACTCGTACTGCGCAAAGTACGAGCATAGATGGATTATCTCAAATCTATAGCCATATAGGCTATAGCCATATAGGACTCGACTTAGCTCGACTTAGCTTGTCGCCCCGATCAAAAATACATAAGTCGTGCCAGATCCCATAAAGTGTATATGTATATAACCAGACAGGTCATGAGTCTCAGTTATCGACCTATCGATATAGCCATGTTCGCCGGTCCGTACGTCCATATGCATGAACGCGTCGATCTAAGAGGCTATAAGAGCATGAGACTTGGAATTGCCAGGCGCAAATCGAGCTCGTAAAAACAATGTATTACTGTTCTTGCTTTAATGTTATCCTTTACAAACCTTACCCATGTTGGGCTATAAAATTATATTTCTTTTATCTTCAGAGTTAGAGCTGCAAAAATCTGCATATGGTAGAATTTGACTTGGTTTTATATTTTCAATACCAAACCAAATATCTTATGCTAGGGGTCTGCTCTACTATCCCTCCTCATTTCAAGGCTGCCTCCCAGTCAGATGATATAAATACAGTAAAATACGATTATACTATACAAATCTATATAGAACTTAGTAGGCTCTGGCAGTTTGAATTCCAATTGTGCTCGTCCATCTAGAAATAGGCTTCATTCCATTTTAGAGCCTTGTCCTGTTGAAAGACATTGCTTTTGTAAAATTGTGTAAGGTTTTTTGGGAATGTAAGTTAAAAAAAAAAAAAAAAAAAAAAAAAAATATATATATATATATATATATATATATATATATATATATATATTATAATTTATGCTTAAATAAATAAAAAAATAATAAATATTAAAATAATAATAATAATAAATATTCATAGGTCTCAGTTGTTTCTGTGAGAAAATAACACCAACTTTGGATCGGACAACAACAGATTAGCTCGCTTAAAATTTTGTTTTATCGAGGATCACTAAGCTCCCAACTACTTCCTATTTCCGTGAAGAGTCTTTCTGACAAGTGAGTAACTTAGAATATACATAGATCTTAACATACATCCCCCTACCCACCCCATTGACACTTGCAGTATGTGCCGCAAACTCTACCCTTGCTGTGGTGGCGGCGCTTCTCCCTGTTGCTACCCACCGCGTCTCTGCTGTGGCGGCTGTGGTCCTTGCTGCGGATCGGGTCCATGTTGTGGCGCTTGTGGACCCTGCTGCGGTGGCTGCGGGCCCTGCTGTGGACCGTGTGGTCCTTGTTGTTAGAATGCGTCTTCAGAACGAAATCCAGGCACCGCACAGCAAAAGTGATAAAACCATTTTCATGTTTTTTTTTTTTGTTTGTACATAATTTAAATTCAACTAACAATTGATTAAAATAAAAAGTTATAATGGGGCAAAAAATCAAGAGTACCTCAATTTACAGCTGGTATATTTATTTAATTTCGTATTAAATATAGATCAAGGTCTTTTTATAAATAGTTTTTATACTCGCTCACAAACTAAACAGTATATTGGCACGTTGCTTAACCAACAAGGCTCTTCTAATTCGCCTTTATATTTATGCTTATAAACCTTTAAACAGTATGCCTCTTGAAAATTTGGTTGACTGAAAATTCATTAAATAATTTTGTTTTGTCGTTTAAATTTTTAAAATACCTTGCAAGGATTCAGTTCCTAGAATTGCAAATTTAAAAATTGCAATAACACTTTGGAGATCTTCACAGCAAATCTTCAATTAAAAAATCCAATCCGAGTCTCTTCACACCCTTACCGCTCCTACTAAAACATTCAAATCACAATTGAATTTAGCTATTTATTTATACACATATATGATGAGCACCTAGATTTCGTTCTGAAGATGATTCCCTTTTAGCAGCACGGACCGCAGCCACCGCAGCAGCCGCCACAGGGGCCACAGCAGGAGAAGCATGGACCACAGCAAGGTCCACAGGGCCCACAGCAAGGTCCGCAGGGACCGCAGCAGCCACCACAAGGTCCGCAACAAGGACCGCAGGGTCCACAGCAGCCTCCGCAAGGTCCGCAACACATTTTTATAATATCTACACATGGTGACAGATGCAATGAGACTCCGATTTCAAGTGTTTCCTAATTACTTACGTTTAGTAGAACCTCCTCACAGAAATAGGCACTAATTGGTTTGCAAATTACGACTGCAGTTCGGGTTTCAAAAGACTTCAGTTCCGACTCAAAACTTTCGAAAACCTTTGCAGTCGTAATAGATATTTGCAGTTACGATACGGACTATAACCTGTGATTGAGAAAAATTATTTAAAAAAATATGTCTTTTTATTCCTTTGGAATATTCCTGGTGAAATTTTGTTTTACTTACGATTTTCTAAAATTTTACAATGGGTACAAACAAATAGACTCAGATGTTTACTGGACTAGTCCGAAAAATTGAATGAGCAATATTGGAACTGCTGGCTGGGGGCTCAACTTTTAGGGCCTACTTTGGTTGCTGCTATTGAAAACTATTTTATTTCGATGCTGATTTGAAATATTTGGGGTGATTTCTTGTTAGCTTAACACTACTCATCCACTCAGATACCCTGCAAAATCATGAACAAAATTATAAAGAATATTAAACATTATAATTCTAATATATGTTCCAAATACTAAGTCTGTAGCTTGAATATCAGCGAAATGGCTTGTATCCATACGGCCAACAACAAAATGGACATTGCAGAAAACCAATATGCTCATATCATATTCGTAAATGAGTATAAGCATTTGCTGAAATGGTGCTGAATGCAATTTCATTGTATTTCAACAAGAACTAAACAGAGTCCAATAGAGAAAATAACTCTATTTATCAATTTATTATGAATTGTAAAAGGTTTTTTAAATATTGCCTATATTTTCAGCTGAAAATATAACAAATATAACAAAAACAATTAAGAATGCTCTAGTCGAGACTGCCTGACTACGAGATCCCCTGAACCCTTCGCGCAACTGATATTTAAATAATTATTCTTGTCGATGATCTTCATGAAACTTTTAGATTATGAATGTAACATAAATATTCAGGAATTTGGTAAAGCAAAAGTCTTTAGTATTTGAAATACGCCTTTTACAATTGTGTGGGTGAGGGGGTAAATATGGAGGTGAGGGTGAATTTTGACAAAAATCGAAATTCTATAAAGTATATATGAATCTACATTTAAAATTTGGCGACTCTAGCTTTAAAGATGTAACAGATATTATTATTGGTTTTCGATAATGATTTTTATCGATCACAAAATAACGGACACACGGACCTAAGAAAAAAATTTCAAGTCTCTAACTCTTATATCTTCTGAGATCGACGCGTTCAAGCAATCGGACATCCGGACAGACGGACGGACAGACGGACAGAGCTAAATCGACTCAGATCGTCGCCCTGATCAAGAATATATATACTTTATGGAGTCTGCCTAATGTCTGTATTCCATTTGTAGTCATTGCTATCTTTGAGAGTTAGTGCCTCTTTAATCTGTTCAACAAGAGCCTTATGGTAGGCCACTAACTCATCTTTGGTCAAGCAATATTTTTCATGTGATTTTAATAATTGTAATTCACTTTCTTGCAACTAGTTGTTGTTGCAATTTGATAGTCGCTTCAAGGCTCAATATTTTATTATTTAATTCCAGCAACTTTTGTTTTTTAAATCGCACCGACGATGTTTTTTGGGACGAGGGCTTTACTATCCCACTGCAATAGCTGCTGCATTGCTCGTCCAATTGCTTGGAGGCAATGGACTGCTTAAATATGTGAATTAAATGCAAAATTATATTTCACATGCAAAGCACATTCTTGACATCACAGAAACATACCGAGTTCTCTGTTGTCTTACTCAATATCCCTGGCAGGAATATCAGCAGGATTAGCATTAGCTGTCGAAACATACACATTTGGAATACTTAAAGTTGAATCTCATAAACCAGACGCGATCGAAATTCTTTGAAGACTGAATTCACTCTGGGCGTTTGGTACATAATGAACACTTAAAATCTCAAATTCGGCAATGCCTTATCACGCGAAGACTAGAGTTCGGCTTGGGCCGGATTTAGTATTCTGCTGTTATCAGACCCAAAATTATAGATACGTATATGCCCCTGACATTGCTGTAGGTTTTGTGGTCGCCATAAATTTGTTATCAAAACTTTGTTCGCATCGCCTAGCCTATGGACTTTTTGATATGAGAAGTTGAGCTTTAGGTTTGTATTTTAATATTCATTCACAAAAGTGGCAGAGTATATTGGTTTTGTACAATGATCGACTCTCCGTTCCATTGAGGCTAGCGCTTATCAAATTAGAAATATTTGTTTAGTGAAAGCCTGGTCTTATCGGGAAATACTATATTCGGTATAATAGTAATGCTATAATTTAAAGATACATATATCAAGTTGGTAATCCATGGTAAATAAATAAATAATCGAAAATTCCTGACATAGAGATATATGTACATTTGCAGGAAGCGATTGAATTTAACAAAAATCTTTTTGGTTCTTTTCGCTATATTTATTTTGTCAACATGTATATACATATTTTTTTTTCATAAAAAAAAAAAAAAAAAAAAAAAAATAAAAAAACATCATATATACTATACATGCATATAAAATGTATGATATGATAAGATTAATTTCGAAATTCAAAGGGTAAGTATATTTTCCATCGAAATATTGAAATACTATTTTTTTTCAACAGAATATTTCGCAAATTAGGAGACAACTTAAAGATATCCTCTCTATAATAATTACCATGTACCTACTGTTCTAGTACATATAATAGGTCTAATGGCAGTAAATGTTTAAAAACAAACCCATGTTTAAAAACAAACCCATGAATGAGTATAAAATTATTTGAAATATACAAATTCATTCATGGGCTGCTCTTGTTGGCCATCGCAGCTTAATTGCTTAACAACTTTTCTTCTAGTTAGACTTTCAACACACATAATCAAATCACAATTGAATTTTGCTATTTATTTATACACATATATGATGAGCACCTAGATTTCGTTCTGAAGATGATTCCCTTTTAGCAGCACGGACCGCAGCCACCGCAGCAGCCGCCACAGGGGCCACAGCAGGAGAAGCATGGACCACAGCAAGGTCCACAGGGCCCACAGCAAGGTCCGCAGGGACCGCAGCAGCCACCACAAGGTCCGCAGCAAGGACCGCAGGGTCCACAGCAGCCTCCGCAAGGTCCGCAACACATTTTTATAATATCTACACATGGTGACAGATGCAATGAGACTCCGATTTCAAGTGTCTCCAAATTACTTACGTTTAATAGAACCTCCTCACAGAAATAGGCACTAATTGGTTTGCAAATTCCGACTGCAGTTCGGCTTTCAAAAGACTTCAGTTCCGACTCAAAACTTTCGAAAACCTTTGCAGTCGTAATAGATATTTGCAGTTACGATACGGACTATAACCTGTGATTGAGAAAAATTATTTTAAAAAATATGTCTTTTTATTCCTTTGGAATATTCCAGGTGAAATTTTGTTTTACTTACGATTTTCTAAAATTTTACAATGGGTACAAACAAATAGACTCGGATGTTTACTGGACTAGTCCGAAAAATTGAATGAGCAATATTGGAACTGCTGGCTGGGGGCTCAACTTTTAGGGCCTACTTTGGTTATGCTGCTATTGAAAACTATTTTATTTCGATGCTGATTTGAAATATGTGGGGTGCTTGCTTGCCAGCTTGAGAATACTCAGTTGTCCGATCTATGTATTCAGTCATTAAAATGTTTTCGAATCCGCAGAAATATAAAATTAAATGTAAACTAAATTTTCATTTAACCAAGATAAATTTTAGTCTAAACTAAGTGTTAATGTATGTAATATAAAATTAAAATTTATGTTAAAAATTCGAAAATTTTATGTTAAGGATTTTATATCAAAACTAACGTTTAAATAAATAAAAATTAAAATGTCAGTTCTTTGTTCCTGATTTGTTTTTTGTTTTTTTTGTTATATTTATTTTAAGCGTTGAATCTGTACAATGCAAGTATAGTACCTTAACAATACAGTTAGATTATATTATATAGAGCCTAACCTTCTGATGTACCCAGGAGGACTTACAAATATCACTAAACTAAACTTATCTAATGTTTTTGGCAAACCCAAGCGTTTTAATCGTCTTAGTGGCCTCGCAGGCAGCAATCTTCTCGCTAGTTTGCTCCGGTGTCTAGCCAGTCTGTCACTATATAGGCTAGTGTGTCTCCCAATCTGTTCCTCCATTGTAAACAGTTTCAGATCTGGATGTAGGGTAGAGCCGCGCACGTACCACGAACAGCTTGCCATTTGTCGCAATACTCGATTTTGCAGAACCTGTATGCGTTTATAGTTGGACGTTGCGCATATTCCCCAAATCTGCACACCGTAGAGCCAAATCGGTGTTACACAGTGGACATAGACTGCTCTCTTAGCTCTCAGTGACATTGTGCTTCGTCTGTTAACCAGCCACCCCAGTTGTTGCATGCGTTGCCCACATCTCCTAGCCACTGCTTTAAGATGAGGACCAAATGTTAGACGCTTGCCAAGGGTGATGCCAAGGTACTGTGGTGGCGAAGGTTGATCCAGTGTTTCGCCATCACTGATGAAGGTTTTCAGGGTGAAGCAAGTGTTGGTGGTCTTGCGTGGGCTAATCTTCAAGTTCCATCTTTTGCACCATGCTACTACCTGTGTTTAGGTAGCTCTCCACTCCATTTGCTGCCTCAGTGGGACATTTTGAGCTGTAGAGCACCGCTATGTCATCTGCATAAGTAGCGAGAAGGGCTTTGCCAGGATTCTCCATGTGGCGCACGCTAGAGGAGGGCAAGTCGGCCGTGTATATGGAGTAAAGCAACGGCCCTCTCTTTGTTCCTGATTAATTATTTTAATGAAACAGAATAAAGTACAGAAAAAAACGTTACAATTTATTCTCACATTGTGTTTTCTTTAAAAATGCAAATACAGAATTTATCGAATCCATGATCTCTCTAATCTTATGTAGTACCTAGATTTCCTTCTGAAGATAGTTCCGTTCTAGCAGCAGGGTCCACAGGAACCGCCACAACAGCTGGGATAGCAGCAGGCCGCAGCCGAGCAACAGCCGCCGCCACAACAGCCGTTGCAGCCGCAGCAGCCACTGCAGCAGCCATTGCAGGGGGAGGTGCAGGAATAGTTACACGAATAGCAGGGAGAGCAGCACATTCTGGTATCGAGTGAAATATACTAGACTATACAGTCAACTCAGTCGTAGGTGAACCAATTCACGGAAAAAGGCAGTGGATGGGGGGAAGATGGCCTATCGATCACCGGTATCCAAGCAGTCGCTAAAAAAACTCAATAAAAATATTTCAAATAGAATTGTATATGATTTTCTATACTTACATTCCCGAAAAATTAGAGATGTTCAGTGGGCAAGCCTTAAAATGGGAATGGGCTTGGCTGGAGAGCTAACTGAGCTTTTTAGAAATACGAATATCTAAGGTTACTTTGTTGCCGTTAGTCAAGGCAATATACATAAATATATTCAGTAATAGATATATTCGATAAATATCAATCGATTAACAAAATGTTGAAACTCGCTTCAACCGACAATTTTGCGAAAGCAAATTCAATCCTATCTTTATTTTCTAATTTGATTTCCTTTAAGTAAGCATAAGTTTCCGACTTATCCCCATATATTTGATGTTATTATATCTGTTGAGCATTTTCTTAGGCAACATTTTTGGTTAGAATTGCCTTCGCAAATATATAATATACATATTAAATCTATTGCACATATAAGTAGAGCGAGCTAGAGTGTTTTTTACAATCAGTAATAATACGAAATCAATGCAATACCTTCTCTAAAAGAACAAAATACAATTTATTATGACATTATGTTTTCTCCAAAATGGGATATAAAGAACTTAAGGGTTTATCGATTCCACGATCTCTAATCTTATTCGTTATATGAAGTACCTAGATTTCCTTCTGAAGATAGTCCCGTTCTAGCAGCAGGGTCCACAGGAACCGCCACAACAGCTGGGATAGCAGCAGGCCGCAGCCGAGCAACAGCCGCCGCCACAGCAGCCGTTGCAGCCGCAGCAGCCACTGCAGCAGCCATTGCAGGGGGAGGTGCAGGAATAGCTGCACGAGTAGCAAGGAGAGCAGCACATCCTGATTGTAGTACACGGAGTGAAAAACCACAAGACTATATAGTCAAAGTAGTGAACTACTTCACGGAAAGAGGCACTTGAAGGTGGAAGATGGCTTATCGATTGCTGGTCTCCACAGCAGTCGCTAAAAAAAGAGAAATAGCATTATTCTAAATAAAATTTCATATAATATTATATGCTTACATTCCCGACAAATTAGAGGTGTTCAGTGGACGAGCTGTAAAATGAGAATGTACTTGACTGTAAAGCTAACTGAGCCTTGTAGGAATACAAATATCTAAGGCTACTTTGTTGCTTATAGTAATGGTAATATATGTTTTTATTGATAAGATATTCAAAATAGATAAAAATCGATACAAAATGCATGCTACTCGACTATTCTACTTTGCTTTCAACCTCCATCTATTTATGTAAATTTTGGTGATATATTATTTAAAAAATTTACAAAGTGTTTGGATGCATAAGGCGTTTTTTTTTTGTTGGCGAAGATGATTCTTTTCGTTTTTCCACTTTGTAGCACATACTGAAGAAAGCGTCTTCACAAATATTAAGCAGTCAAATTTGTCGCTAGAATTTATTTTGTTTAGTTAGTTATGCTTTTACTTGTTCCATTAAAACGACAGACTACAACACTGTTTTTCTTCAATTTTCAGACTTGGTTTATTTATTTTACATTTATGTAGTACAAACATTTACAATTAGGTCTGCTGCTGCTTTCTAGTATTAAATGCACTCTAGTATCTTGATTTCGTTCTGAAGATGGCTATCTTTTAGCAGCAGGGACCGCAGCCACCACAGCAGCCGCCACAGGGGCCACAGCAAGAGTAGCATGGCCCACAGCAGCCGCCGCAGGGTCCACAGCAGGGTCCGCAGGGACCGCAGCAGCCACCGCAGGGCCCACAGCAAGGACCGCAGGGTCCACAACAGCCTCCGCAAGGTCCGCAGCACATTTTGATGGGGACTGTGGGGTAAAATCCGATCAATTTGAATGTGAAAACTCTGATCCAACGCCGAAGGCAAGATATTATCACTTACTTGACTTAAGCTTCTTCACAGAAACAGCTACTAAGATGTCGTGCAATTACGACCGCTGATTAACTTCCAGGAAACTATATAGTCGGATATTAAGCCTCCAGAATTCACAGCGGTCGACGTATTGTTATTTTATTACAAAAAAGGATTCAACCTGAGATTAAAAAAAAAAAAAAAACAAAAAATTAAACTTGATTGAATTACCCTTTTTTTATATTTTCATAGAAACTTACATTCCCAAAATATTTACAAATATTCACACAAAATTTTTATTTTGAGCTGTTTACTGAACAAGCCTCAAAAACTGAATGAGGTTTAATTTTATAAAGAGTTATTACCAGGCAAAATTTGGTGAAATTTCAATGTCAGAGACTACTTGGATTGAATTTCACAAAAGGCGAAGTTTCATTGTTAAAGACTGCTTGGACTGCTGGATAGAAGGATTTCCTGATGGAGATATTTCCAAACAAACGCTACATAATTTGAGGTTCTAAATCGATAACATTAAAATAAGTATATTTATCGATTTCTTGAGACAAACCATATGCACGGCCATGCAGGGACCCATAAACAAAACTTCAGGTCTTTAGCTTATAGGTTTTTAAATTGACATACGGACAGACGGACGGACGAATGGACGGATAGATGGAAGGACGAACGGACAGACAGATGGACGGACGAACGAACGGATAATAAACGGAAAGATGGACGGATAAACGGATGGACATATGCACGGACGGACGGATTGACAGATCTAGGGCTCGTTATTCTGATCAAGAAAGAATATATATACTAAATGGGGCTATACCAAGCTTTCGTCTGCCTGTTACAATTCTCATTTTCAATGGGTTCAGGGTATAAAAATATATTCATGAATCTATATACAATCCGAGGTTCCCCATTTTAATGACGGCTATGTGCCATTTATTTAATATTAAAATTCTTTTAAATGTTTGTTTTGAGCATAGCCCCATTTAGCCATAAACACATTGATAAAGATATCTATTTTAATATGTTTACAGCATCGAGAAGCAACCCATATAAAATTTCTCCATTTCCCACACCAAAGACTGATAAATTGAAATTGACCCGTTTTATTTTATATGTACGATAACAAAAATTTACTATGGGTTAGTTGGGACATTCTCGTAATTTTTACTAGACTGGAAGCTTTCAAACTATTTTGGATTCCACCTAGCAACAGGGTCCACATCCACCACAGCAGCCGCCACAGGGTCCGCAGCAGGAGTAGCATGGGCCACAGCAGGAATAGCAGGGTCCGCAGCAGGAGTAGCATGGTCCGCAGCAACCGCCACAGGGGCCACAGCAACCACCGCAAGGTCCGCAACACATCTTGACAGTAACTGCAGGGCAGATCTATGAAATATCCGATTCTAAAACAATATTCAGATGTGGAATACTTACGATTGAGCAGAATTTGGTAGAAATGAGTACTAGGATATTGTGTGTTTACTTTTAGGCTCAGATTCCAAGCTTTATCAGTCTTTTTGTATGTTTTTTTTTTTTTATTTATTTATTTCTTATTTTTTTACGAGAAATATTCCAACCTGTGATTTTATCAGAAATTAAATTAGTAAATCCAGACTATTGCGGTAACACTTACAAGACCCAAAAATTTTTACAAATATTCACACAAATAAAATAAAAAGTTGTTAACAGGACGAGCCCTAAAAACGGAATGAGATTTATTTATTAGTGCTGTGCTAACCAGTCCAAAATCGTTGACGTTTATTACACAGAGCCTACTTTGGGTGTTATGAATTATGAAACACAGAGCCTACTTAGGGTTATATGAATATGAAGAGTAGCAGCTTTTGTTCTTAACTTCATAGCGTAGTTTTAAATGTTTACTGATTAAATGCATACGAAAAACATGCATTAGAGAGTAGAATTATTATCTGGTCTTGTGCTTTCTCTAATTTGTCTTCCTGTCTGCATGTGCCCTTTGAATTCGTGAGAAATCATAAATGAATTAAATTTCATGTGAACCTTTCATATATGCTCTATATAAACAAAAAATATTGACCGGACTGGTTATCCCGTTCCGTTACGCCGAAAAGTAAAACTAAAGCGTTAATAAGCGCAGTTTCTCTATCCAAGGAAAATATTAAAATCGTAGAATCTACAGGCAGCTAACCTATCATAATCTTGCTCTTATAGTCCATTTACAAATTTTACTCAACCAAGAAACATGTTTGTAGACCTATCCTTTATTTAATGAGTAAAGCGAAAATTGACAAGAGTTTGTTGTTCCTTTCATGCTTATTTTTTTTTGTAGATTAGTTTCTTCGGTTCTTTTTAGCAACAGGGTCCACATCCACCACAGCAGCCACCACAGGGGCCACAGCACGAGTAGCATGGACCACAGCAGGAATAACAGGGTCCGCAGCAGGAGTAGCATGGTCCGCAGCAACCGCCGCAGGGTCCACAGCATCCACCACAAGGTCCGCAACACATCTTGAAAGAGACTACAGAACAGATCAGTGAAATATCCAAAATTCAAGAGATTATGAATACTTACGATTGAGAGGAACTTGGTAGAAATGAGTTATGAGAATGAGTAACGGTTGTTAATTGGTTTTCTTTAGATTTAGTTTAAATATCAAACTTTTGTAAGCCAATAGAGTCGCTGTATTTTTCTACTACAAAAAAGGCCACAACCTGTAATTTGATAGAAACCTTTTAGTAAATCAACATTTTTTGGAAGTATAATTTTTCCTACATAAAAACTTACAATCCCAAAAAAAAAAAAAAAAAAAAAAAATACAAATATTTACACAAATAAAGCCGAAAGTAGTTAACTGGACAAGTCCTAAAAACGGAATGAGGTATATTTATCTCGGCTTTTGTAAGCAGCCCAAAATCTTTGACGTTTGTGTTTCAAAGTGTACTTTGACTTTAAAAAAAAACTTTGACTAACAGCTGTAACATAAGCCCAGGAAAGCCAGACGGAAACGCCCCTTTTGGCTGGAGCCAAAGTGCGAGGAAATTGTGAGGCAGGCACTTAAACAGGCTCAAAGGCGAAGAGCATCTTTCAGTTTCCAGTTTCTAGTTCATTTATCAACGAAAAATGGCAATGAAAAGTGCCCAAGTGCTTAAGCTCATCTATCAATATATTTGCCGGATATTAAGCGTCAACTTTATTGAAGTGACCACCACAATTAAATACCCCTTCTATCGTAAGTATAAGTATAAGTATAAGTATAAGTATAAGTATAAGTATAAGTATAAGTATAAGTATAAGTATAAGTATAAGTATAAGTATAAGTATAAGTATAAGTATAAGTATAAGTATAAGTATAAGTATAAGTATAAGTATAAGTATAAGTATAAGTATAAAGTATAAGTATAAGTATAAGTATAAGTATAAGTATAAGTATAAGTATAAGTATAAGTATAAGTATAAGTATAAGTATAAGTATAAGTATAAGTATAAGTATAAAGTATAAGTATAAGTATAAGTATAAGTATAAGTATAAGTATAAGTATAAGTATAAGTATAAGTATAAGTATAAGTATAAGTATAAGTATAAGTATAAGTATAAGTATAAGTATAAGTATAAGTATAAGTATAAGTATAAGTATAAGTATAAGTATAATTATAAGTATAAGTATAAGTATAAGTATAAGTATAAGTATAAGTATAAGTATAAGTATAAGTATAAGTATAAGTATAAGTATAAGTAAGTATAAGTATAAGTATAAGTATAAGTATAAGTATAAGTATAAGTATAAGTATAAGTATAAGTATAAGTATAAGTATAAGTATAAGTATAAGTATAAGTATAAGTATAAGTATAAGTATAAGTATAAGTATAAGTATAAGTATAAGTATAAAAATTATAATTTATATATTATATATTATAATTTAGAATGTTAATCGCAGAAGTGGGAGGAAGCAAAAGTATAAACCGAAGAGAATTGTTAAACAGCAGCTGACCAGGATGATGTACAGAGCTGAATATGTCCTAGGAAGATTTACGACTCGAGTGCAGGAATCAGGGAACGCTAGCGAACAAGTAATATATGTATATATACACACATATATATACACACATATATATATATATACATATATATATATATACATATATATGTACATATATATTCATGTACGTGTGTAACAATGCGGAACAGGCAAGTGGAAGTGAATGTCCTTCAACTAGCTTTACGTCACTTGGCCGCCTGCCAAGCCTCGTGACGAGGACAACCCTGACACTTGAGTGGAGACAGACAACCACTTGACTGTGACCCCCGCGTGTCGCCCGCGGCTCTTCTAACAATGCGAGGCGCCACCATAGGCGACATATACAATACGTACAGTGCCACACATAAACAGACATATGTATGTATAACAATTGTGTGTATATATATATATGTAGCGCCCTATGACATTAATGTGCGTAACTTGGACAATTACGACAAAGAAAGCAAGCCAAAAAAGAAAAAAAAAGAAATTGAGAAGTTACGACGACTTGTGTAAGCTTAAATACCCTTATGCTAGACTCGCGGTGGCGGAGGAGAGTTTAAAGAGAACTAGACAAGTTTTTTGAACAATTGGTTTTTATATCAACAAACCAATATTTTCCAAAACCGAAATATAATTTCACTAAATCAAACCCCAAGAAAAATGAATATACCTCTGATAGAGTATGGCCGCTAGACAATCCAATTATTTGATGAATAAAAGTTATTGCATTGCAAATAATTTGATAGCACTGTGTAAGAGTATTGAGGGATTCGACATTATTGTAATTATTACAGGCTTAAGCAGTCCATTCATTGGTAAAACTGTTTGTATTGCATTCGTGGCAACAAAAGCGTAAATGCTGCTTAAATAGCACATGTAACTGAATACCAATGCCATTGAATGTAATGAAAAGTAATCAGAGGTGATGGAGCAAAGGTGTTTTGTTTAATTGAAATGTCAAGCAAGCGATATATTATTGGGAAGAAGGATTAAAGGGCGCAAGAAATTATATAATAAATAAGATATGATAACTGTGAAGGGAAGTAGAATTTTTTTTTATATAATTAATTTATTTGGTTATAATTAAAATTTAATCTTTTTCTCTTTTTCTCTGGGTTCTGCTATTTATCTTCCCAATGATGAGTCCTGGTTACCTTGACTACGTGATTTTGCTCGCTTTCAAATCTTTTCAGCATGATGATATATATATATATTTTTTTTTATGCTTACGTAAGAAAAAAGCGTCTTTCAACCAGTTTACACAGTCATTTTTTCTTGTGCTTTTACCTTTTTCTCCTGCACTCATCTGCCTTAGGGTACGCAACAGCTTGTGTTAATTACCGTTGCCCAAAGTGCTTAATGAGCCTAAGAGTGCTAAAAAAGAAGTCAACAAACATAAACAAGCTGGCCTAACTAGAAAATACCCTGTTGGCATTTTGGCTTTATTCCTTTTATAATGCATTAATATATTGTAATTAATATATATTAATAATATGTATATATAGCATTAATATATAGTATGAACTATTATTTAAGAGTAACATATTATTTATATAGCAGCATCAGCCTTAATATATGTATGTATCAATTACCCAAAAATTATTAGTCACATTTGAATCATAAAGTCAAATGATTCACATCAACTCATAAATATTTACAGGCAGTAACATCGATATTCCTGTTAATTCTTTTATTTTATTTTTACTCATTTACAGGGCATGCAAATAAGAGGAACTTCCTTTCACATAAACCAAAATCAATTTGTAATTATGTAAAAGCTGAGAAAAATACGAGAGGAAGGTGTGAAAACGAAGCAGATAAATTTGGTAGCATAAGTGAAAAATATGTTAAGTGCATTAAAATGAAATTTCCATTTCGCAATCAACATATATATGTATGGATATACAAATGTATATTTGTATATACATATATTTATTATAGTGTATGGGGCGTAATCATCAGCATGTACAGCAGCAAATATCATTTAAATTGTTGTAATACATCGTCCAGATATACATGCAAAATGAATAAGCCGACAATTGCCATGGCTCAATGGGCATTTGGGACGTGCCAGACCCTAAAAAATGCCATACTATGCACAAATTGCTTTTACTAAAGAGAAGCAATAAAGACAGCTAAAATAAGATATGGAGAAATTGTCATTGAGAATAAAAATACATATGGACTCGTATATTTACATATGTATATATATAATTAATCATATACAGAGTTAACTCGCTACTTCAATATTTCTATCCAATAACTACAACTAGCCCCAACCCAGTTTTAAGGCAATCGAAATGTCTCAGTCTCAGGTCCGTTACTGGCTCATCCTTGATGGGCAGAGAGTCCTTTCAATAAACTAAAGTGGCGTAAACCACAAAAAATTATCTGGAATGAGGCTTACAAAGTAAAATCAGGGATTAATGGAAATAATAAGGAGCTAAATTTAAAGAGTTAATAATGGACAGTTAAATGTATTAAGCGGTTATCAAGAGTCTTTTTTTCCCAGATGAGCGAAAAAAATAAAGATTAAACTAGAAAAAAAGGATTTAAACGGCTAGACTAGTAGTCTAATGAATATTTAAAAAATATATATATATCAATATCATTTCAGAAATTATTTTATCTAAATTTTCGTAATCTCAGGTAAAAATACAAAAAGATTTAAGGAAATGCGCCAATGTAATTTCCAACATTCATGTTGCAAAAAAAAAAAAAAAAAAAAAAAAAAACATCAAGTGACGAATTCAACTTTAAAAACTTAATTAATTAATTGCTAAATAAAGAAATATTTTATTTTTTTTCTGTGTGTGCGCTAATCATACTTAAATATTATTCCTATATCGAAGTAATTATATTGTCGTATATAATATATACAGAATATTCTCCAGTCGCATATTTTCCAGCAGACATATTTTCTTCACACACTTATTTTAATTGTGGTGTACATTGCTGTGCAATGGAAATGAAAAAATGTGCTTTATTTTAATTGTTACTGAATATGTGAGATCTGGGAAAAAAGAAAAAATATTTCATTAATTAATTTCATTAAAGAATATAGTTGAATTACAAAAATTATTGAATCTCCTAGATTTCAGTACGTTAATTAGATAAAATTTTAATTAAAATGAATTTTATAAAAAATACGATGGAGATAATATGAATAAGCCTGCAAAGCCGTGAAAATCAGCACAGAAATCTTTTGCAAATAAATGAAATAAAATTACAAATATATATACATAAATCTCACAAAAGCTTAAAAATCCACAAAAAAAAAAAAAAAAAAAAAAAATGAAATGAATATTTGTATATATCTGCAGGTGCATATTATTTAACTGAGGGCTCACAAAGCACGCGTAACAGTTGTGTTTCGGTTTTAAAAAATACTGCACCATGACCAATACAAAAATCCGATTTTCAATAAAATATACGCATTACATGTGAATACAAATACAAATGCAATTAAGGTCTCTATGTACTGTGCACTCTCCAGTTGCCGTTCCCATCTCTCTCTCTCTCTCTCTCCCTTCATCTCTTACCCTCAAGCTATCACGCTCGCTTTCGCTCTGCTGAACTGTGAGTATTTTTTGGGTTATTTTGTAATGCCTACTTTCGGGTTGGCGACTTAATTATACACATTTTCCACTTAATTTTTTCTCTCGCCCAGCATTGTTGTATCCTATACTGAAAGAAGCTTTTTAAAACAGGGTATATTGCTTAAATGACAATGTCGCTTAATCATTTTTTTGAGTAAGATCTTATTAATTATTAATGCACCACTGCACCGCACTGATTGAATGTCGGTATCGCTATCGAATCGATATATACACTTATATATCCCACCTCAATCAATGAAAATCGATAAATATTAAACAGTTTTTTCTCACTTTTAAGTTTTGCATGCTTATAAAGTTTGCCTGCGAGGTATTTGCTAGTCGTTCACTTAGGGTGTTTTTGTGTTGTTTGACGGCACGTGCTTGAATTTGCCGCGAATGGCTGTTGCTACTGTTTTCTTTATACCCTTTTTTTTTGGTTTTTAACCATTTTATAATTATAGACGTCAGTCAGGCATTTAACTCGTTTGTTGTTGTTGTCGTCCAGCAGCAACAAATTGTTGCCAGCCTTTCAATTTGTGTGGATCGCACGTCGAAAACCCCGCAACAACACTTATTGCCAGCTGTCTCTCTATGTGTGTGTTGGTCTTCTGCAGTGTTGCCCGTTAAGCCTAAATCAGGCTAGATCTAGCCGTTTTGAATATGGTCTGTGGATTAGCCAATAATTGAGACAAACTATGCAGAAGTCCTAGTTCTTAAGAGAAATAGAAGAATAGAAGAGACTTGTCTATGCCATCTAATAATTATAATTATTAATGTATTTTGATTGTCTGTTCGTATATCTGTATATCTTTATCCCTGTCTGTCTCTCTTTTTGTCTCTCTGTCGGCTTGCCTAAGAAACTCAAGGGACGAAAAAGATTTACAGAAGATCATTTATGTTGCCTATATGTATGCAGCAGTATTCTTTTGGTATTTATATTTAAGTAAAACGACTATAAAATACTTGAAGCAGCAGAGAGTGTTCCCATTGTGCACTTAAAGCTCGAATGCAATGACCTGGCGCCGGACACAATATTTGAGCGCTACCTATTGTTTGAGTGGAAGTCGCCCTATATAAAGGGCAGCAGCTACAGCATTTTTTCAGTCGCCCATTCCTGGTAGGAGTCATACGTGCAGTATAGTAAAGTGAAGTAAAGTGTGCTAAGCATTAAAAACTTGGAGAAAATATAAAATAAATCTAGGATATATATAGAAGAAATACTTTGAGGAATTATTAAGAGCAAATACTTAGATGAAATCTGTAAAAGAAATACTTGGAACAGTAATAATAATAAATACTTGGAAAAAATACTTAGGGAATATACTAAGAGGACATATATAGAATAAATACTTGGAAGGAATACTTAGAGCAAACAAATTAGAGGAAGCAAACAATTAGAGGAAATTTTTTTAGTGGAAATACTCAGAAGAAATACTTTGTGGAAATACTTAGAGGAAATTCTTAAATACTCTAAATTGTTGCCTGATTCTGTTATTTGATTATTATGATGAGCTACTTTTTATATGTTGTCTTCCATTTTTCATATAGCCTGTTAAACAAGTTGTTTTTTTTTCCTACATTTTAGCCTATTTAACTGTTGTCTGCAAACAACTTATTGTGGAACTCAACTGCTGGCAGCACTGGTCTGCTGTGTGTGTGTGCGTGTGTGTTTGTTGCTTTTGCTTTTGTTTATATTTTGTTGCTGGATCTGCGAAATAATTGCTTCATACATAATTATCGCTGGATGCGAGCGACGCAAGCTCATTACAATCGTTGTTGTTGTTGTTGTCGATGCTGCTGCTTTTGTTGTTGTTTATTTCGAGTGCTTATTGTTGTTCATGGTCGCCGGACCTTGCGCTGTGTCTGGCATTTAGCGAGCGCCAAAGCCCGAAACATAGAGGATTATGCGCATAGATATTTGGTATTAAAAGCGTTTCTTGTTTTTCCAACCGTTGAACTTTCGCACCGCAAAATTTATCTACGGCCAGAGTAGTTCTCATCATGTTTATGAAAAGACTTAAAATGTACAATTGATGCCAGACACTGCTCACTTATTGATCTTTTTTTTTTTTTACTTTTAATTGAGATATTTTAAATTTTATTCGCAGGGCTCATTGAAAATGAGATATCAGGGTGGAATATTTTTGTGAAAATGTATGTAACGGGCAGAAGGAGGAGGCGTGGCAGATTACAAAAATCGTAAGCAATTTGTTATGGATTGAATGTACTCAATTGCTCAAAATCGAATTTAAAGTAGTAGTATTAGTAGAATAATTAGTTATTTATTAATTAAATATTAACATTATCTCTTATTCATTAATTACTATAATCAATAAATGAATTACTCCTTATATTCAATTCATTCCAGGATATAAACTATTCGCGCAGCTCCGACTAATGCACTCTCACCTGTTAAAATGCATTTAATGTGCAATTCACATAACCAGATGCGCATTCCATGTCAATAACTGGATACGATTAACCTCATACATGTATGCTATTTACTACATATACACAAACGAGCACATACACACACAAACACGCAGATTATTTTTTCTTCCCTCAATGCCCGACAGACACGCGCTTGCGGGCTGCAGTTGGTGTCGTTTGCTGCAGCCGGAAGCGAATCGTTTAAATGTGTAATGATGCTATGGGTCAGCTGCTGGGCTGCGTGTAGCTACTCCTTGCTGTCAAGGTGATGGCACACACACACACACACACACACACACACACAGCTAGACAATAGACTAATTAAGCTATTTATTAGGTTTGGGGTTAAGTTCAGCAGCAGTTGTCTGCAGTTCCGTTTTGACTGCGGATAGCTAACATTAGCTCTTAGCTCGAAGACGGAAATCGGATTCGAATTTGTATTCGCTTACAAACTGCAGTTGACTTTGTGGGCCACTGGCCAGAAAAGGTCATCATGTTACATGTGTCGAAAAGCTAGCCAAGAGTCAAAAATAACTCGCTCTCTCCACCTCTCGCTCACTCTGCCTCTCGCTTTCCCTTTCTGGCGCACTCTCAACTTTAGCCTGACTGTTTGTCATCTGTCAGTTGCCTGTGGTTTTCTGCTCTTTATCCTTTGCTCTGACCCTTTTCGCTTGCAGTTCATTAAAGTTAAATAAATCAAGTCAAGAGTAAAAATTAAAAAAAAAAAGTAAGTAAAAGAGGAAAAAATAACGATTGATTTTTACTGTTTGTGGTTGGGTTTTGCTGGCGCTATCGCGAGGTGTTGATTACCTGGGGCCATGCTTCGCTACCCGCTCCGGATAATTCGAGTGGATAATTTTTTAATGATGCCGCAGCTGCGGCACTAAGTGCACCAAGTGTTGGCTTAGCAACTGTTCGAATGAATTGATATAATGGCAAGGGCAACAAGGATTAAAAATCTCTGCATGTGTGATTAGAGTAAAACGAGCTTGACCTTTCATTATTATTTGAACTAAAGGTGTGGCAGGATATGTAGGACCTAAATAACAAATAAAAATGGCTGAAGGTGTGGAGTAATATTATCAGAAATTAAGCGCAGCAATTTGCTTTAGTAGTCTTTTGTTTTGATTGCGACTCTGAGGTCTCAGGGTTGTTCATATTCGACGCACTATATATTTAT